TCGAAGAGATTTCGTTCTTTTTTTTACGGGTCGAACAGGAACGATCTATGGAGGAAACAAAGTTGATGAATATAGTCGAAAAGCAGATGCAATTCAAGCATTTCATGCTGTTTTTCTTGATAAAACTGGAAATGAATGGAATGAAAGAGAAAACTTTCAAAAATTACCAAATAAACATTATCCATTGGAAATTGATTATGGTCAACATGGTGATAATGATAAAATGCAAAAATTACTTGAAAGTGCCAATTTAAATATTCATTCGAAATTAGCAAATGCTGTTCAAGATCTTGTTAAAATGATTTTTAATGTTGAAACAATGAAACAAGCTTTATTATCATTTGAAATTGATTTAACAAAAATGCCTCTTGGAAAATTATCAAAAAATCAATTAGATAAAGCTTATAAAGTGTTAACTGAATTACAAACATTGATTACAAGTGGTGCAACAACATCGAAAACAGCTATTATTGATGCAAGTAATCGATTCTATACGCGTAAGTTTATTTGGAGAATTATTGAAAAAAGAAAAGATGATGTCTTTTAGTTATTCCTCATGATTTTGGTCTTGCAAGACCACCTTTACTTGATAATGTTGAATTAATAAAAACAAAAACTGAAATGATCGATAATTTATTAGAAATTGAAATTGCTTATTCGATGTTGGATGAATCAAATAATGTTGTCGAAAGTACTGAACATCCAATTGATGTTCATTATAAAAAATTAAAATGTGATCTGATTCCAGTTGATCAGAACTCAGATGAATTTAAATTAATTGAAAAATATATGATTAAAACACATGCCAAAACTCATGATCAATACGCATTAAAATTACGTGAATTATTTAAAACAACACGTCATGGAGAATTTGATCGTTTTCAAAAATTTCAAACTCTTGATAATCATCAATTATTATGGCATGGATCAAGAACAACAAACTATGCTGGAATTCTTAGTCAAGGTTTACGTATTGCACCACCAGAAGCTCCTGTTGTAAGTTCATCTATTTTTCTTTTTTCACACTCTCATTCATTTTCTCTAGACTGGTTATATGTTCGGTAAAGGTGTTTATTTTGCTGATATGGTTTCAAAAAGTGGTATGTTAGTCATTTTAAAATCGATCTATGATATTGAGAGAGAAGTTTTCATTTAGCAAATTATTGTTTTACATCAAAACAATCTCCTGAAGGATTAATGCTTTTATGCGAAGTTGCACTTGGAAAAATGTATGAATGTAATAAAGCAACGAATTTATCTGCATCAACGTTACCAAATGGAACACATTCGACAAAAGGTTGTGGATCAACAATGCCTGATCCAAAAGAATATCATTATACAAATGATGGATTACTCATTCCAATGGGTCATGGTGTTCCATCGAATTCTCGACAAACTTCTTTATTATACAATGAATATATTGTTTATAATACTGATCAAATCAATATGAAATATCTTTTGCGTGTAGATTTTCAGTACAAATATTGATAACTGAACTTATTTTATTGAATAATTCACTTTAATTTTTTTTTCTTATCGTTTGTCTATTTATCAGAACCAAAGAAGATATGATTATGAAAGAAAATCTTTTCTTTTCATTTATTTTTTTTCTTTATTATGTTCATGATTCTTACAAATTTACCTTTGAAATAAACCATAAAAGCAAAGTGAAACGTGTTTCTAATAAAGATTTGAACATCACGATAATTGAGGGAATTAATTTTCAAAAAATTCCATCAATGTAGCAATATTTTATTCAAATTTTGTTTTCTAACTTATATGAAATGAATTTCATAGATTAACTAATCATAGTGGAAGACTTACCTTCAAATCCGAAAATATCTTTTGATTCGAAATGATTTTGATCAAATGAGATGAATATTCCATTTTAGTCGCTAAAACGAGTTTTCTACTTTACCAGCGATGTTTACAACGACAGTACAAACTCATAAAATGACGAAAAATTCCAACTGGATATTACTGCAAAAAATTTCCGTTGTGAATCACAGTCACGACGTAAATTGTTTCCCAATGGCAAAAATATCGAACTCACAGTCGCTATTGTGCAATGTTTTTTCGCCAGTCAGAGAACAAAATCAATCAACATACATACACTAATAAATAGACTCATAGAGATGCAGGAAAAATGAATATTCATTGATATCATCTCTACGATGCCAATGCATCAATGGATTCTATTTCGAGAAATACGACTTTGCTAAAACTTCATATTATCAAAATGAATATGAATATGATTACGATAGATTTTCTTTCGTTCTTATCTAATACATATTTTCATCAGATTCAGTGTCCACTTNCCCCGATTACCCTTCGGTCAACCCTTACTCGACAACAAAAAAATTTCATTAATTAATTAGCAATTAGCTAATTAGCTAATTGGAATTTCAGAAATCTAACAGCGGATTCGGATTCCTCGACCTCGATTACCCTCCGGTCAAACTTCGTTCTCCACTGAGGGTCACTGAATAGTCACTATCGAACAGTGATGTGAAAGAACGAACCAACAAACCAACAAACCAACAAACCAACATCAACTCGTTTTTTTGTAATACCTGCTCGACGCATAACCCTCCTTTCAGTAGAGGGAATAACTAGATATTTTATATTAGTGAAATTATATCTTTTTATTTACTTTTCATTTATTTCTGTTGATATAATGACATGATTTTAAATATAATGTAGTACTATGCCCTTTTGAAGAACAATAGAAGTCGAAAAAACTTCGTCATTTCTCAAATGTGATTCCGTCACGACAGTGTTTCTTGTTTATAAAACCAAGATAACTTTTCCTCAGAAGTTTGTTTTATTATACAAATATATTGTCATCATGGCTAAAACTTTTCTATAGAAAGTTTCTTCCTCACGCTTATCGTTGAGCTAAGTTTTCTATTTCTTTTCATAGCTCTCGATATACAGTTCCGTTTTTTGTAATTCCATCACGCACCTATATTTTAATGATAAAACAGAGACAAAAACATCTATACTTACGAAATCTTGTGTACATGTAAAGGAATTAGACCTACATAATTTATCAACGTTTCGTGACTTATTGGACTTCTGTAGGCTTAGATATTAAAAAATCAATGTGAAAAAATGTGATTCCGTCACGCTTGGACAGGCCGTTACAGTACATATTCTATTGCTCTGTTCAATTTGAAGCGCTGATAATGTAAAATCCCTATTCTCGAAGGTCGAAAACAAATAAATTATGTTCGTTCAAAAACCATTGGCTTTAGTTGAGACAGTGATAAATCTTATCTTTCAAGTAATTTTCAAAATAAACGTCTAGTCGTTCGTCGACTTCCCTCCGGTCGGTCACTCACGGCTAGCCGTTGCCATGCTGTCTCTGTTATTCCTTTCGCCTTTGATCAACTTTCAAACTGAACGATTGGGTTTTCTTTTGTTGTCGCTTCTACAGTCACGATCTTCTATTCATTCGACTATCAAAAGAAACTAGATAAGAAAGTCTCATTGTATGATTTGCTTCGAAACGAACATCTTTCATAGCGCTGCATGTGTTTGGAATACTGTTTCTACAGTCCACGCGTCTGTAGTTACTAAGATGGAATTTCACCGACGGGTATATCACTTTGCAAACTACTTCTACTAAAATCCCANTCGGGGTCGAGGATCACGAATCCGACGTTAGTGTTGCTTAATTAATTATTCATTTTTCATTAACTAGCCACGACTTATTAACATCCATTGTCAGAGTAGACCGAAGGATTTCTGACGTCGGGAAATTCGAATTTGAGGATAAATTTCGGTTTATTGGCTGAGCCTGCGCTTGTTCCTTCCTCTTTACAAAGGAGATATTTTTCTTTCTCTGTATTGAAATCTTTCGTAGAAGATGGTGAGCTGAACGCTATTCACGGACGTCATGTGTACAAAGATAGTAGCTCAAGAACTTACACGAAAAGATCTAATGCATTGTACATAATGATGCTTCTAATTGAAGAAATCCGAAAAAGTGATATGAGCTTAGTATCATCTTTGCTTTGGAGGCTACATACATCATGTCTTTTTATGGGATTTTAGTAGAAGTAGTTTGCAAAGTGATATACCCGTCGGTGAAATTCCATCTTAGTAACTACAGACGCGTGGACTGTAGAAACAGTATTCCAAACACATGCAGCGCTATGAAAGATGTTCGTTTCGAAGCAAATCATACAATGAGACTTTCTTATCTAGTTTCTTTTGATAGTCGAATGAATAGAAGATCGTGACTGTAGAAGCGACAAGGCATTCAAATGCTAGATTAATCCTAAAGTGTACGCTTAGAATAGTCTTGCCAGGCTTCTGATAACTTTGAAAGGGATGTGACGAATCAATATTCCTCAATGAAAATATTGGACAAGGTATCATTTCGTTGACAGGAGAGAAAAGAATCGAATTATCGCCGGAAGACACAGACGAATGTTCAAACTTTTCAAGTGGCCTACTGTACATCGTCCGTCTATGAGTGACTTAGTAAAGCATTTATGAAAATTTTCATGCGCGTGATGTGAAAATAGAAAAACAGATGACAAAGGTCAATGGTTGCCCGTGAGTGGCCGTCTGACTAGTCGTTGAGCGATGAATTTTTCAGTCAATATAGTTAGTGCTGGAGAATTATCCACTGGCAAATTGGCTAATCGGTCTGATTCCTAAAAAGACTTTTGCATCCTATTCATTCTAGTATGTGACATAGTGCCATGATTCAGTTGAACACTAGTAGCAATCGCAGTGCGTTTTTTCTCTTTCGAAGTCTCTGAATGTATTCAGGATTCGGAAAAGTCTTTCAGAAAAGAGTCAGCGAATCCAAAGGATGAGCGTTACTTGTTTATAAAATGCTGCAATTTGATTGGATTACGCAAACAAACAAGCAAGCAAGCAAACGTTTTGCATTACAACCACCCGATTTATGACGCTATAACCCTTTCTTTCAGGAAAGGGAATAAATGTATGAAGTATCAAATGAATCTTTCCTGTTGAGGTTCAGCCAAGAGGGTAAGTGCTGCATCTGGCATCTCAGCATCCATTGAGCATCTCGAGATCCAGACGGCATCTGCAGCATCCACTTAGCATCCAGTCAGCACCTTCAATAAATTTTCCGCTTTTTTAAATATTTTTCTCAGCATCCTGTGGCGAACTTTAAAGTGTATAACTGCGGCGTCAAGTTTCACGACAGGATGCTGAGCAAAATATTCAAA